CTGGTAGCACCCGCCAAATGCCTTACGGATTACGGTGGGAAACACACATCGAGGGGCTAAGGGAGTCAACCACAAACTAAAACAAAAAAGCTCAACGACAACAAAAGAAGACCCCAAAGTGTTCCCTTTCTCTTTCCCTGCGGCGGGGTCCGGCAGCGAAAAGGAGCGTGAACCGTGTAGCGGCTCACCCCTGGGTTTCCCAGTGCTGGGATGAGCTATGCAGTTTCCCTGAGATCCCTAATGCTTTTGACTGGAAAAATATGCCCCCTGCTCTGCAATGGAAAAAAAAAAATCGGAATAACCTCTTTGTTTTTATTTTGTGAGAGGGACTTCCTACGCCAAGAATGTGGGCGCTGCCGAAAGTAGGTTAACTTCCAAAGTGACCCCCGGAAAAGGCATTTTGAAGTCTCCGTGGCTGATAGTGATCGTAGGAACGGGAGAAACACAGTCACACTGGAAGAATGCTGGGTTTTATTTGTTTGCGGATTTTTTTTGTCCCGTGTAATGATTTTTTTTTTTGATAAAGAGACCCACGTTAGTAGTCTTCGGGAATACTAAACGGGGCATAAATAGAGAGGGTAAATATACTTTGGAGAAAGCAAAATGCTCACTTCCCTCTCTGATCCACCGGGGGCGGTGGGAGCTGGATCCACCGCGGCTGCTCCGCGGACCCTCTGGCTCCATGCGCGGGAGCTGCGCGCACCCGAGGGACGAGTGTATGGCTTGAAGCCCCTTCCGCAAGCACGGGGGGCCGGAGAGGTTGGCATTTTCTAGGCGGGTGGGTCGTGCTTTGTCACCCACACCCTCCGTGAGCTCCCGTCCTCCTGCAGTGCGCGTCCAGCACTCACCCCAAAAATCCTGCAAAGTCCAGGTGTGCGCAAATGGGGCGTTCGGGTGCCTGTGGTGACTTGTGTGACGAGACGCGCAGACACTGTATGGAAATGCGGGGTGCACAGCTCACCGCTACGGAGATGTGTGAGCGCACAGACACGCGCGTCCCCGCATGGGGTGTGAACGCGTGTAAAAAAGTGCGTGTAAATCCCCGGTGCGGTGGTGCCTGAGCCAGGCAGTCCGCACAGGGGCCGGGAGCCGGGATGCTGCTGCAGGGCTGTTGTGGCCGGGATGCTCCAAGGCTCCGCTCGCCGCCCAGCTCTGCCCGCTCTGGGGGGCACCTGAGCCCCCGCATCCTGCGCTGGGGCCGCCGGGCAGGTGTCCGCTCCTGAGCGGAGCCCCGGCTGCCCGGAGCCGGTACTGGGAGCCGATGACCAGCCGGGAGCGGCCACATCACCGCCGGTGCGGCCCGTGGGGTCTGGGGTCCTCCGTTGCCCCCAGAGCTGGGTGCCCGCTGCCCCCGGCCCCGCAGCGAGGGTCCGGCGGAGAGAAACCGCCGCGCTCCCGGGCGCGCCGCTCCCAGCCAGCCAGTTTTCCTCCTTCCCCGTAAAATGCAGGAATTCCGGGGTTTGACAAGGTAATGTGACAACATGAAATGCAGGCTCGGAGCGCCCGTGGCTTTAGGTAATGAACGCTTGGCCGTAGCGAACCAGAAAGCCCGATCCCAAATGTTTATGTCAACAAATCCATCCCTGGTGATGAAGGTCCCCGGAGAGCCGCTCTGTGCCCGGCTGGCCTGAGCTGCCGCTCAGCAAGTCCGGATTTTAAGGATCGGGATAATTTATCGCGTTGTTTTTAATGTTTATTATTTATTGCTCTAATTATTTTTCACTTTCTATTGGGAATTTAAAACATATAGATGTACCTGGAACAGATGCCAACTCCTTTCAGTCTCACTCAACTTCTAATCATCGCATCTGCTTTGTGTCAGAAAATACTTTGGGAACAATTTAACTTTGCATTAAAATAACTAATTAAAGCCACACCTCCACAGCCTCTTGCGAAAGTGGGGGAGGAATTTCAGTAAGTGCATCTCTTTTAATGATAGCATTCTGATTTCCCTGCCTTGCTGTAATTTATTCAGTTACAGATCTGCCTGCGGGGCAGCTCCCATTAGGCCGATGATGAAGTCTCATGAGTAAAGCTTGACACCTCCCTCCTAATAAAATATAATACTCAATTAACTCGGCCTTTCTGAAGGCTTTAATTGGAACAAGTTAATAATGGGCGCAGGGTGAATTGTCATGCCATCCGCAAGCTCGGAGAAGGTGTCACCGATCCGTCCTGCCTTTCCCATAGCAGAGGTTGTAACCGAGATTTGGAAGCTTTTCCTTCAACACCCTTGTGTGCTGCAATAAATCTGTATCCATTTAAGGATCTATCATAACACACACAAAGCTCCTGCGCTCAAAGAATTTCCAGCGAAAAGATTTAGCTGTAATCCCTGACACAGCTGATTTATACTGAAGGTTAAAAAATACCGCTGGTTTATTTATAGCCCGGCCCAGCTAAGGAAGCACTCGGGACAACCGGCCGGGGAAGGACAGGGGAGAGGGGGCTTCGCCTTGCCCTGTACATAGGGGGATGATGCTTCAAGAAAAGGGAATCCGAGAAAGAAGCGGTTGGTTCCGGTTTTTATGCGGCAGTAAATGCTAATTTGAAGAGTCTACATGGATATTAGGTTCCCCCATCTTTGTTCCCTACCGTTGCGAAGCGGGAAGGGTAACAGGGGTTTTTCTCGGAGTCGGGAATTGGGTGAGCAGGGTGAGCTCCTCTCCCCCGTCCCGCAGCCCTCTCCCCAGAGCCCAGATCGCGGGATGTTTCCCCGCCTTGAGGTTTCCTTCTCGCCCAGCAGCGGCCCGATCCGGCGGGATGCTGAGCCAGGCGGGACGGGCTGGGCGGCCCCTCGGGCTGTGCCCACCGGGAAGCGCCGCCGCGGTGCTCCCTCTCGGCGGGAGCCGGGAGCGCTGTGCCTTCGGGAGCCCCGCGACTGGAGCGAGGAGAGCGCACCCGGGTCAAACCACCCGGCTGTCCCAGCACGGGCAAACACACCTTGTCCCCACAGTGGGAACGCCAAGCATTACTTCTAATCCCAACGACCCTCCTATGACGGCATTTACATTGGGCCAGCATAGGATTTGGGTGTAACACGGTCCGCCTGACCTCTCGGGTACCCCTCTTATCTGAGCAGACCCGAGACCCCCTCGCCAGAAAGGTCTGGCACCTGCTCTCTGAGCCTGGCCTGAAAACTACGGGACAGTGCCGACAGCAACTGGACTGAAGTACTGCACGGCCCCTGCCAGGGTTTACCTGTTCCAAATTACCACCCAACTACTGTGGGGGCCGAGATTAGTCTCCCACCAAAGCCCAGAGATGAGGTCAACGGAAAGGTGAGTCGGAGGGAGAGTCCCAAGCCAAAGAGGAAGGCACATGAGCTAAAAGAAGCGATGGAGACATCACCGGAGTATGATGTTGTAAAGAACAGAGGTGCCTAAAAGTGGTTGTTAAAAACAAGGAAACCTCATAAAAGGTTTGGCTTTCGACTTCGAATTGTTGACTTGCAATTCACCTTCATGTGCTGCAAATTTGGCTTTAATTCAGATAGGGGAAATAATCATAAAGGCAACCCAAACATTCCTTTGAACTTGACCCAGCAGTGCAAAACACACACGGAGAGAAGTTACCTTTTAAAGGACTCCAAACACTAACAGACCCACACGTGATTAAACATGTTTTTTCTTTTTTAATTTAATTTGAAATAAGAGATAAGAAATAATAAATCTTCAATAAAATATATAAAATTGTACAAGGCATCCCTTTCAAAGGGACTCTCCTATAATGGAAGATTAGGGGTGAGGGGAAGGGAAAGAGGAAGTTCATCTATAGTAGCTCCCAGCCAGCATCAGTGCCTGGCTCAAAACAAACAAAAACCAGCAAAACCTCGTGGCTTTTTTTTTTTCTTTCCATTTTTTTTCTGATTTTTTTGTTTTGTTTTGTTTTGTTTCTTTCTTCCACAACAGCATGCTAAGAAAATAAATCCAGGAGAAGTTCCAACTTCAGTGCTCCACAGCCTCTGGAGTAACTTCCTCATAAAGTTTAGCAAGAGTAATACACATAATACAATAGTTATAAGAAGAAGCCTGGGGAAGTTACTGCCAGCACTCGGGGAGCTCCCACAGGGACAGACAGGTTATGCAGTTTCTTGGCACCCCACCGTCCTACTTGTAGGGATGATTGTTTGTGATACCTGGATCTCTCTTTAGAAGGGCTTGAAGCATGAGTCACTTATATTGGCATCCTTAGCAAGGGAAGAAGAGGAAGACTCAGGAGGGTTCTTCTATTTAATACAGGCTGTTGCAAATACTAATAAAACCCCCAAACATCTCCCAGAATTGTTCAACAATCCTTTGCTCTCCACCACTGTGGAAACAAGCCACGTCTTCTTTCCCCAGAAAGCTTCCTTCCCTCTCTCCTGGTTTTCAAAGAACATTGCAGAGCCAAGATTACCTGGCTGTAGCCAAACATTTCAAAGCATGCCAATAGGAAGAGATAAAGACCAGACTGCCTAATAACCCCTCCTTGCACTTTACCTCCCCTCACAGTGCTTTACAAATGCTGAAGCTATTTATACAAATAAAAGCATTACAGGAGCCATGGTGGATAAAGCTGGGCTCTACATTTAGGCGCCCTGATGCTCATCTTGTTGCACTCATCTGACGAGGTTTGGGATGCAAAAATTTTCTCTACCCTCAGAAATGCAGGAATTTGCTGGCTCTGAACTTCACTGAGACTCTACTGGGTCTAGCTTCTATTTACATGGTGTCTCTAGCTACAGGCTCTGCTTTCTTTAAAAAAACAACCAAACAACAAAACGTTGATTATACCTTTTTATTTCCCTCCCCACTACCCCCATACTAAGTGATGGCAACTTAGAGTGTGGTGTGAGGGCACGCACCCCTCTAAATTTAAACCTGTGTTGGGCCCCGTCAGGAAGATGTCAGGAAATCTCTGCCTCCATAAGATAAAATTGCCTTTTCACCCATTCTTTTTTAGTCTAGTTTTACGTGCACTGTATAAAACCCCTACATTTGCTCAAATATTTTTTTCTCTCTTTTTTGTTTGTTTGTTTTTACAATTTTTTTTTCTTTGAGGATCAGACTCTGAGTGCTCAGAGCACTCTCAGAAGACACCCAACCTGTAGCATACAGGATGCCTTGCTTTGCTAGCACAAACTCCCATACACTCAGGATGGCAGATAGAAGCGTGCAGAAGGAATGGCCAGTACTGGTTGGGGTACTGCCTTCTCAGGGCTGGACATGATCCACCAGGAAGTCTGTCTTACTGTCACTTTGTCTTTCTGATCTTCTTAGGATAAGTGGTACATGCTATATCCAACGGGAGTAGCATAGAGTCCAACAGGAGGGATAGGAAGCACAGGTCTGTGAAAAGGGTAGGATGTTCCATACAGTGAGGCAGCCTGGATGGGAGAGTTGATGGGGAAAGGGAGGCTGAACCCCGATGGCAACATGGGCTTCGCTGCCATTTTGAGCTTCTCCAGCTCAGCCTCCTGCAGTCTCTTGGCCTTGGCCCTCCGATTCTGGAACCAGATTTTGACCTGGGTCTCTGTGAGGTTGAGGGAGCTGGAGAACTCCGCTCTCTCGGCGATGGACAGATACTGCTTCTGGCGGAACTTGCGCTCCAGAGCCAGCAGCTGGGAAGTGGTGAACGGGGTTCGGGGCTTCCTATTCGTCTTGTGCTTCCTCAGGGTGCAGGCAGTGGGGCTCAGGTGTCCTGCAAGGAAGGGAAAGGCCAGTTATCACAAAAGCAAGGAGACCTGGGTGCTCTGCAGAGATGCTGTGCTTGATGGGCCTCCAAGTGAGACCCTGAAAACAGAGGATCCTTTTGCAAGCGGCTCTGGAAATCTTTTTCTGGTAAAAGCAGTAGATGTCCTGGGAAGCAAAATTTTGGCTCAGCGATTTCAAAAGGGTAGATAGGGCACAAGGGATTCACGGATCACTTTAGGAGTCACATCATAGAGGTCTAGAGCACACAAACCAGCTGTTTTGGTAGCTGCAGAACTGGAGGTGTAACTCCAGCAAAGCACAGCACAAACATCGCAAAGGCAGGAGATTCACAAAAGGACAGTGGAGCAAGAGAAGAGCCCAGCCCAGCTCCACTAAGCACCCTATCTTTTTTCTGATAGCTGAAGCAGTGGGTCTGACAATTTTTTTGGTTTCACTAACTAGGTATTTTTATTGATATTTCTTCTTCGAGAGGTAGTTTTTCCTCTGATTATTAACTTTTCAGTGAGTATTTTCTGATTTTCAACAAGTATCAACAAAACCAAAAAAGCAGTGCACTTTTCATTCAACACTTTTGGGTTTTATTATATTTGCTAATTAAACTAAAACAAAACAAAAAGCTTCATAACTGCAGCATTTGTAGCCAATACAAGTCAGGAAATCTACCACCTTTTGTGCTTGCCTTAAAACCCCAACCGGGTTAGGCACATGTACCCGGAATGGCACACGGCTGACTTGAGATCAGTTTAGGTCTTTAGATTAATTTTGCATTTCACTAATAATTTTACAATCTAAAGAATGAATAAGAAGCATGCAGCTAACTTCAAAAGCTGAGCAATTTGGCTGTGTTTCGCATAATTCCCGGGGCAAGTCACCCTGGCTCCCCAGCTTGATACAGCAAATGACACACAGCCTGCTCTAAAGAGGCTGCTAAATTTTGTACACACTATAGTGTCTGGTTCAAATGCTTGTCAGTATCTGCACGTTATTTTTTCTAGACTCCTTTCACTTTCCTCTTCTACTTTTTAAAATAGGCTGGACCAAGAAGCTGTTTAAGTACATATCATGGAATTAAAAAATCCCACAAAGAAAGTGTTCAAAAGTTCAGAAAGGTGAGGGAGAAAACAGTTACAGTGGAAAAAAATTAAACTTCTCTTATTATCCTTCCTTTAGATACTGAAAACAAAGCGCTCTTAGAAAACAACTTGACAGATACTGTCTTGTGATCACACCAGGGCATTCCAATAATTAAGGTGTTCACTGTGACAGTTGTTTCACTTCTAAAACTACACTAAATTAAACTACACTAAAAGGACCCTAAATTCACTGCTGGTCACCCCGTTGTTCTACTCTATTTTTAAACACAACCTGTTTCTTTTCCCTAAGTGAAATTTTCCCAAGACCCAGCTGCCAGGCTGCTTCAAGCAGGGACAGGGTTTAGAAGGGGAACCGTCAATCCCCATCCCAGAGCCTTTCCCGGCTGTCGAGTCAGCTCGACCCGTCCCGACGGCTGTTACACACGGGGGAAACCACAAAAACATGCTTTTAAATTAAATTCCGGATAAATATTTTCCCCGGGATACACCCAAGCGTTCCTGGGCTTCTTCCCTCACCATCCCCCCAAGTGACTGCCGAACTCTGATAAGCAGGAGGGTCGGTCGTCACCGCAGACTCTGCAATTGCGTTTATCCTGTTCCAGTCCTCAAACCCTCGCTGCACTGATTTGTTTCGCTGGTTTTTTTTTTTTTCTATTTATCCTCTTTTTTCTGGGCAATGCCGGACAAAAATAATCATTTGGAGAGGGTTCCCTCTCCGTGTTGTTCAAAACTCTAACTTTTACAACTTTTTTCTCCAGTTCATTCTACCCATAATATTAATAATAACTAAATAGAGGAGCTGTTTTTAAAGTCGAAACCCTCCACAGAGAGATGGTATTCCTGAGGGAGAACTGGTCATTGCCTCCTGCTGAGCGGCCGAACGCCAGGAGGTGGGAAATTAAGGAGATGGTCGAGGCCGAAGGACCTTCCCTTGCCTGATTATCGGTTTTTGCCCCAAATCCCGCTGAAATTACCAGAACTCCCAGCTACTAAAGTCCTTTATGAAACTACTTTGCAGATCTCGAGAACAGCCGATTTAAAAGAGAAAGGAGAGGAATTTCGAGGGGGGAAAAATGTAGAGGGAGAATATTAGGCCTTGTCTAAGTCTTGGGTTTCAGACAGATTTAGAGAAGGGGGTCCGGGTAGAAGCACACACTTCTTTTCATGCTTTTTTAGCATACTTGAGGGTATACGAAAATTGAAAATTGGAGCTACACAGGGAATGCCACGGGCAGGATGCTTTCCTCCTGCCCTCTCCCGGGCCCTCTCCCAGCATGATAGAAATCAAATTAATTCGGGGGCAGTAAACGAAAGGAAGTGGATGAAAGCCAAATCGAAATGATTGTTAAAAAAACCCCAAAACCAAACCCAAACCAAAACAAAAACCCCCAAACAAACAACAACAAAAAAGAGGAGCTGTAATAGCACTAAACTTCCTTCTTGCAGTATTAGATTGAGGAGCAAATTCTGTGAGACTGTCTGGCTCAACAGTTTGCTTCTGTAGTCTCTAACTCAAAGAAAGCAGAGTACTTAATTTCCATCAGGTAAGTTAGGGATGCGCAGAGGAGAGCGGATCGATCCACTGATACAGGTGTACGGCCGCCACGGCTCCGGGCCGTGGGAAGGCAGAAAGCCCAGAATCGTCCGGATGCTTCTTCTGCTTCTCCTGGAGGTAGTTTTGGGATTTTTGATTTCTTAAAAGCAATTTCCCCCCTGTTTTTTTAAGGGATCTCACCAAAGCGAAATGCGATTCAGCGCAGGCACAGCAGCGCGGCTCGAAGTGCAAAAGGGTTTAAGAAGTGACCTGTCACCTCCGGATCGCGTGTCCCTAAGGCGGTGGGGACGGGGTCGGGAGAGATCGCAGAGGGTAAAGAGGTCAGGCCTAGATCGGGGAACTTTGACAGGCTGCAGGGAACCAGGGAGAGAGGAACAACCCCGTGTCGGGAGTCACGGCGGCGGGAGCCAGCGCGGAGAGAGCGCACAAGGCTGGAAGGGACAATTCCCGGGTTTAAGAGGTTGCTGTGCACCATGTAAGGCAGAAGGTATCAGGGAGAAAATCCAGTTGTTGTTACAATGGATGATCTAAATGGACGAACCGGCAGCCGGAGAGCAGCGTGTCAGGAAAGGGAGATGGTCCAAGGTATTTTCTGATCTTTCTATGGTTTTGAAAGCAGTATATATTTATATATATACATATAGTCATATATATAAATATATAAATGTAGAAACACATAACCATATAAATATATAAGCCTAACATACTTACGAAAAAATACGTAACATAGACCTAAACATTACACACGCGTAGATATGAATACATATACAAAATATCATGGAATCGCAGGATGGTTTGGGTTGGAAAGGACCCTAAAGATGATCTCCTTCCAAACCCCTGCCGTGGACAGGGATGCCTTCCACTAGACCAGGTTGCTCAGGGCCCTATCCAAGCCGGCCTTGACCACTTCCAGGGATGGGAATATAAAATTTACGATGAAATATAAGACCTACACGTCTCTATCTCGCGTGCTCCGGGGCATCTCGGCGCTCGGAGCCCGGGGCCGGAGCAGTGCCCGCCCGCCCGCCCTCGCTCCCCGCGCGGCCCCCGCCGCTCCCCCGGGCACTCACTTGGCGGCGGAGAATATCTCCCGGCCTCCTGGATCCAGGACGTGCCGTCCTCCGAGTTCTCCGACTTGACCGAGGCGGTGTCGAAGGTTTTTGTAAGCGCCCCGGGGGGGCTGTGCGCGTCCCGGGACCCGTGGCCCGACAGCAGCAGGTTCCTGGAGGTGCCCACGGCCGCCCCGTCGGCGCTGCCGCTCGGCGCGGGCAGCGGCGGCTCCTTGGGGGGCTTTTTGTCGGACATGAGCGCTTCCACGCTGAACGGCAGGCTGGACACCTTCACTTTGTGGTGCTCCTCGGCGCCGCCGGCCGCCGGGCCCTCCTCGTCGGAGGAGAAGACCTCCTTCGCCTTGGAAGGAGAAGCCATGGCGGTGCGGAGGGAGCTCTGGAGCTGCGCGGCGCCTCTGCCCGGCGAGTGAGGCGCTGCGGGCCCGGCCGCCCCCCTTTTCCCCCTCTGGGGCTCGCCGGCGCTGTCCTCCTTTGGGAAGCCGAGGGAACGCCCCGCGGGCCAATCAGCGCCCGCTCTGGCCCCTGACGTGCCGCGGTGACTCACGCCATTGGCTCGCGGCGCGCGGGGGGCGGGACCAAACCGCCTCTCAGTCTCTGCCTCTGGTTTTTTTGGGTGATGCTGTTTGGGGTGTTTCCTCCCCCCCCCCCCCCCCTCCGGATTGAATTAGGAGTTAATGACACGGGCAGCCCGCGGAGCGCTGCTATTAAGGAGCCGTCCAAGGGCTGTAATCATAGCAAAGCAAGGGGAAAAAAAAAACCAACCCGCCGCGGTAATTAAGGCTGATGATGAGGCGAAGAGGAAACTTCAGAGGATCGCGGCTCTGCTCCCTCTCCCGCCGCCGGCCCGGCTCCTCCCGGCCTCCCGCCGGTTACTCCGGGGCTCCCCTGGCTCCTCACGGCCCCCCTTCAACTCCTCCCCACCCCCTCTTCTCCTCCCGGCCACCCAGCCCCTCCTGCTTCCCCACCCGGCTCCTCCGGGGGCCCCCCATCTTCTCCCAGTCTCCTCGGCTCCTCCCGGGGCCCCCCATCTCCTCCCGGGCTCGGCCGGCTCCTCTCGGCCCCCTGCAGCCCCGTCGGGTACCGCCGCCCCTCCCGGAGCGGAGTCTGCCCGCCTCCCCCCATCGGCTCCCACAGAAACGCGTCGCTTTCCCGAGTCCGCGGGGCTGGGAGATGCGAGATGGGAGATGCGGGATGGGAAATGCGGGACGAGGGATGCAGGATGAGGGATGCGGACCCCCATTCAGCCAAACGCCCCCGCGGAGAAACGCTGGAGCCTGTTTGCGCCGCTCGGTTTTCATCCTAATAGGGTGGTTTTTTGTTGTTTGCGTTTCCACGGCAGCAGGACCCAAGTCGGGCAAAACCACTCTGCAGAGGTTAGATCTGTAATTATTATTTTTTTCCAGCGTCAATTACACACGTGATGAATAGATGAGCCTTAATAAATTAGGGGCACGCAGTCCTTAATTAAAAGTCGTATCAAACCAGTACTATGAAAGCGATTCTCTCACTTTTTGACTTCCTACCAGTGGTATGAATAAAGAGTATCCTTTAAAAAGCGTTTGTAATTACAGCGTGGATAAAAGCAAATACATATTGTTCTTTTCATAATTATTTTAATCTTACGCCGGGCATTATTTCATGCTGCGCCCGCAACTTTCTCAGGTGTTTTTTTTCGCTTTTGTTTTTTAACGTTCAGGAAACGCAGTGTTTAGGAGCCGTTTCACTGTTACAAATTATAACTGAGGCTCTAAAAAACAAAACAGTCTGGGAAGACGACAGTGCGTCTGCCCTGGTCTGTGCGGCACAACCTCTCTCCCCAAGCCCTGACTTCAGGGACAGCTCAGACAAAGCTGAGGGCTCGGTTCTGGGGCAGTTGCTCTGCTCCATGAGCGATTTTGGATATATCCCTTCCATAACACTTGGAGGATTTCATTAGCTCATCTTCTGCTCGATTTGGACCCCTGACTTTCCTGCCAGCCTATGCAGCAATCTTGGAAGTCCCCAGTCCTGCAAACACAAATCACGACTTTCCACCTCGAGGACGGGGCTATACCGAGTGGACTGTGCTGGGCCCAGGGGTCCTCCCGACCCCTTAAAGCCCTTATCACCCATGTCCCCGGTCAGACAACAAGTATCTGAGCCGCCCCAGCTCTGATAGCATCTCGCCTGGTGCCATGGAATAGCAAATTGGGACCGGGGCATGAGACTGCGGTGTGGGAAGGAGTGTGGGAGGACGTGTACGAGAAGCTGTGTTACAAAACCCCACTCATCAGTGGGACTAATAGCAGGGTTTGCACACTCATTACTTGTTCCCGGCAGTGTTACTGCAGACCTCGATGGGTTAAGGATTAAAGCCAAGCAAGAGCTGCAAAGAGAAGTGATATCTCTCACTGCCTCAGTCCAACTAACCTGACTGAAACATTTCAGTCAGCAGAGCCCTGATTCGGGCTTTTCTCCAAGGGTGAAAATAACAGTCGATGCTACAATCTAATGCCTCTCCAGCATTTCTATCCCCACGGAGCTCATCTCTTTGCCTGGAGATGCTCACAGAGAGATACAAGACAGCAGCCAGGAAGCCTCGGTCTTGCAAGCTCTGCTGCTGCAGTGAGGTTGAGTTTTTCCCTCTCCCCCGCCCTCCCCTTCCTTTCCCTTCCTTTCCCGTCCTTTCCCTTCTCCATGCTTCCTGCACCGTGACAAGTAAATGAGAATTGATGGACATGCAGGAACAATGTATGTGTGTCAAGAACAATGCACCGCCCGTGGAAAGCCATTGTGGGGCTGCTGAAAATGCTGCAGATAATTATACCGCGCTCCCAAAGTCAATGCCCGCTGGAAGGGCGCCTGGGGAAGGAGAGCCCGGGGAGGGCAGGTCATGGTGACACCGATCACGTCCCTTGGGTGCAGGTTCTCTCCCCAGGTGTCCGGTTGTGGCCTGGGTGTGCGAGCTCCCACACCGACCCCGTGGGCTTGGAGAGGCTTCTCTGCACCGTCATCCTTTGGGAGGCCAGAGGAAGGAGTGGGACCAAGGGACAAGCTGCTCTCGGTGCTGTGAAGCACGGAGCAAAAATTGGCCCATCCAAGCTAGTCTGGGTGCCACAGAGGCACCTGGGATAGCAAAGCATGGCAGGGTTTGCTCATGGCGTTTGCCCTCTTCAGCTTCAGTCCATCGCGAGGTTGATGTATTTTCTGTAGAAAGTCTGAACGCGGAGGTTTCTCTCCTCTCTCACTCCTCTCCTCCTTCCTCCTCCTCCTGTCAGTTAAACATCAGAGAATGAAGCCCCACACGGCACTGAATGTCCGGAAGGAAACTTCTCCGAGACGAGGTTTGGAGAAATTTCTAGGAATTAAGGCTTTTCCCCCTATCCAGGATTTCAGAACCGCCTCCCAGCCTCAGACCAGCAAGGAATTCTCCCAGCCCGGGGAAACGACGTGAGTCCGGGGGCTTTCCCCTGCGCCGGGCTCCCCCGTCGTGTGCCCGGTGAGACCCCGCTCCCGGGGCGGGCGGTCTCCGGGGCTCGGGCCGTCGGGACTCGGCGGACCCGGCCGGCTCTCGGGGCGGCCCCTCGCCCCTGTACCCCCAGCTCCGAGCCGCCGTCAGAAACCGCCTCACCGAGCACTGCCGGGTCCCACGGATGCTCAGAAACCCCTTGTGCCCCTCTGCCTCTCCCCCGCCCCCCTACAGCACCAGCCCCCGTGAACCGGGGAGGGCTGCGGGCGCCCCGGTCCTGGGGCTCTCAGCTGGAGCGGGACGGGGAGGGAGGGAGTACAGGGGGAAGAGAGACGCTGCAGACAAACTGAGGCTGTTTTGCAGGCGCCAGGAGCGGGGAGATGAAAGGGAAGCTCCTGGGGGAAGTGGCTGTGCAGTTTGACCGGCTCCAGCAGCAGCAGCAGCGACGGCCCGTCCCGGCCAGCTCCGCCTCCCCCTCTGCCTCCCCCGGGCTCCAGGCTGCCCCTCGGCCCACCTCCGCTTTTCCCAGCCTGGAGGCGGAGGGAGGTGTCGGGCAGGCACTGCCGCAGCATCCTCGCTTCTGTATCCATCAGGCCGTGAGCAGCATCCCCACCACGAAATTCCACAGCCTCATTAGTCCGTGATAGCTGGTGATGGTCAGTTTGGCGGAGGGGTCTGTCCAGCACCCCCCGCCCCCCCCGTCGGTGTAAATCAGGAGGGAGCGCATTCGGATCTTTACACGAATGATGTCCTGTATCCACAGTCCACCAGTCCGTGTCCTTTACAGACATCTCGGGGGACAAAAAACCCTGGCGGGGAGCGAGGATCGCGTTTATTCTCCGTGAGGGAAAACTTCACAAGCATTCCCCTCTCCTTTAATTATCGATTTGGTTAATAACCCATTTTCTAAAGAGATGAGTTTGGTTTTTTTTACGAGCCACCGTGAGGCTGGCGTGAGGAAGTCGTTCAAGTTCGGCTTCCGATTTGACTAGAAAGAAAGGCAGGAAAATGGAATCAGTGTGCATCCAGCCCAAGTTTTGCCCCGAAACGAGGTGTACACCAAGGGAATGTTTGATGCGTCAGAGGTTGGGAGATTACTGTTTCATCGCATTGCCCCAGAACAGACCCGGAGCCAAGAGAAAGGCGTTGTATTAATAGTAATATGCGTTTATCTTCCGACGCTAGAAAGGAATTAAAACGAGCTGAACATCAGAGCTTCCGAGGGATCAGGGCTGGCTACTGACGCCTCGATCTAGATCCTCTCTCGAGTCCTTTGGACTCCGTTTCCAAAGCCGTTTTGGCTGACAGCTGTTGACTGCGGAACCGGCTTCCTGGTGGTTTGCGAGGGAGACCCTTCCCGGAGCATCCTTCGGGCACCCCGGGGGGACGCGTCCCGCAGTCCTGGGCAGGGGGAGGCAGGCACGGGAGGCTCTGCCCGCCCGGGGCCGCGGGACGCGCAGCTCGGGGAGCGCCCGGGTCCCGGTGCGCGGGGAAGGTGGATGCGCTGGAGCAAAGTTGCACTGTGTTGTTTGCGAGAAATAGGCAGTAAGTGCAATCACGCGTTATAATTGTCCTCTGTGTCACCCGACAATCGTCCCTATTGATCGCACCGGTGTCATCCACTCGTTAAGACAGTGAGTGCACAATGAACCGTGGTTGTTGCATAATACGAGCGGCTCATTTCCCACCCGCCGAGGGTTGTTCTCTCCTTCTCTCTGCGCAGGTATTTAATTTGCCATCAGATTCTGGTTGGCAAGAGGCAGGGGATAGTTGTGAGAGATCAGATGTCTTCCTGCTCAAAGCAATTAATAGTTTTGCCCTTAAGGATTTAAAACGATTTTTTTCCCAAGGTAATAATTATTTAAATAAACACAAGCGAATGGTTCGACGGAGGAGAGCGCTGGTAGAGACGTTAGATTTACATGCAGAAAACTCGCGATCGAGGGGATCAGATGGAGACTGGGTTTTCGG